GGTTTGTTGAGTAGTTTGTAGGCAGCTCTGCCTTTGTCGCTGGTCGACCACTGTTGGGACCATTCTCTGCATATTCTGCTTTTGATAATCGCTTTTAGTTCAGTTTTGCCCAGTCCCGCGAATACTGTGTTGTGGCTAACCGTGCCTCTCTTCGCCGCTCTGTCTGCTGCTTCATTGCCCTCAATGCCTATGTGTGCTGGGATCCAACCAATGGTAGTTTGGCATCCCAGGCTTCTGAGTCGGGTGGAAATTGTCAGGATTTCCTCTTTAATGTCTTGCCGGCTCACTTTCGAAAAGTCTCTCAGGGCTTGTACTGCTGATAGTGAGTCAGAAAGGACGAGAAGTTTTATGGGGGGCCGTTCGCAGGCTAGCTCCAGTGCTTTCAGAATCCCTACCAGCTCAGCTGAGCAGACTGCCATATCGTTAGTGAGTCGGTATTCGTGTGTGGTCTTCCAGGTCGGTATGAAAACACCTGCCCCGACTTCTCCCGTGCTGGTTTTCGAGCCGTCGGTGTATATAATCATAGTGTCAATTTCTGCGTCACGGATGTACTGTTCGACTCTCGACCTTGCATCGAGTATGTCATGGTTTCTGTCTATCACGTGGGCGAGGCTTTCGTCGGTGAACGGTGTCTTAAGCTCCCAGGTGGGGATGGTCGGGTGGTATTTCTTACCGCTGGTTATGGTGGTGGTGTCAATTTCGGATGCCGTTTTCCAGGCTGCCGGTCTCTGGAATGTTTGCATTGGAACGCTGACCTTTGACCAGGGGTATTCATTGACAGCAAGTGCCTGGATGGCAGGGTGGCGTGGGTCAAGTGCCGCTTGGGACCAGTAGCCGTGTCTAAGTTGTTTTCTGCGTAGTTTTAGTGGTATGACGCCCAAGGCTACTTCCATGGCTTCTTGACTAGTTCCTTTCCCTGCCCCCAGGATGATTGCCATCGCCTGGTTCTGAATAGTGTCTAGTGTCTCTTTTTTGGCATCAGAAGCAGCATCGTATACGATCGAACCGTATTCAATTTTGCTTCGGATGAATGCCTTGTAGAAATTTAGTAGTGTCTTTGTGTGTGCACCCCAGCCGGATCCTTTGATAATTCGTAGCAGGTTGTTATTGCTCTTGCATCTTGCGACAGTTTGTTCAATGTGTCGACCCCAGCTCATTTGGGAGTCGAGCAGCATTCCCAGAAATGTCGTTTGTATCTTTCTCTGTATTCTTTGACCGTCTATTTCTATGCGGGTGTCAAAGTCTTCGTACGTTCGTACTCTTTTCCAGTTGAAAATCATCTGGGTGGTCTTGGTTGGGTTGATACGAAATCCCCACTTCTCCATCCACCTTGTAACGTTGTTGGTTGCCCTCTGCAGCTGGTTTCTGGCTAGCTCTAGGTTGGAATCTGAGCACCAGATGGCGCAGTCGTCGGCGTACTGTGATAACATGACGTTTTTTTCTCCTATGGCCTCTGCCAGGTCATTAACGAGGATGGAGAAGATCACCGGGGAAATCACCGAACCTTGGGAGGTGCCGTTCTCTTGCGAGTGGGTTGTCGATTTTGCGTTTCGCACTATCACTGAGTAGGTTCGGTCTTGGAGGAAACTCTTGATGTAATTGAGCGTTTTCCCCACAATTCCTACTACACTCAGTTTCCTGATGGCGGCTTCCCTCCAGCAAGTGTCAAAGGCACTGGTAAGATCAAGAAAAATGGCGATTGTTTTCTCTCCTTTTAAGAAACCTCTCTTGACGTGATCCTCGAGTTTGATCACCTGGTCAATCGAGGATCTGTTAGCTCTGAATCCGGACTGGGTGCAACTGTACTTGTTGTTTTTTTCGAGATGGAAATTAATTCTTCTAGTGACCACGGTCTCCATCAGGTTTCCTAGGTGGGAGGTCAGCGAGATAGGTCTGTATGAGTCCAGTCTCTGCGTGTCCCTTTGAGGCTTGGGAACTGGTATGACCGTGGCGTGTTTCCATTGTTGTGGGATTGTCCCTTCTGTCCATACATCGTTGAACAGCGCCGTTAGCAATTCAAGTATTTTTCTAGGGAGCATTTTGATTAGTTTGTAACTCAGAATGTCTGCCCCTGCTGCTGTGACTTTTTTCGCCCGAAGCGCTGAGGTGACCTCGTCGATTGTGATGTCGGTGTCGAGGTAATAATCTGTGATGTCTGGTTCAGGCTTAAGTTCTCCAGTTGCAAGAAGTCGTTCTCGTCTCCCCCTCTCTGTTGGGCCGAGCATCTCTGTTGAGCTGATCTCATAGAAGAATTGTCCAAACATATCGGCCTTTTCTTTGTCTGTGATCGCCAAGCTCGGTGTCTTAATTGTGGGGATTCGAGACGACTTTTTGTTCCCTTTGATGGCCTTGATTTGGGCCCACACTCTGCTCGCAGGGGTGCTCGGATTCAGACTCTGACAGAATGTTTTCCAGTGGGCCTCTTTTGATCTCTTTATGATTCTGTTGGCCGCGTTTCTCTGGATTCTGTAGTCTTCAAGATTCGCATTGGTCTTGTTGCGTCTCAGTATCTTATCACGATAGTTACTTCCCGTCTATTCATGCCACGGCTGCCAATGTTTGGGTTTTTCCCTGAGATCTGGGTTTTTATTTCCATGCCTTGGGGAAATCTGGGTATAAAAAAAATGTATCCTTAAATAAAAGTGGTAAATGTTTCGTTTCGTAACTATAAATTTTGTACCTTTTTAACAATCTGGGTTTTTTATTTTGTTTTCTTGGTCTCTGTCTATGTATTGCTTGGGTTTTTGTTTAGCGAAGCTGGGTTTTTCCCAAAAAATCCTATTGGCAGCCCTGTCACACGACGTGTCATATGTTGTCATGTATCCCTTATTTTCAACGGTTCAACCGTTCTCTCTTGTCTCGTGTTGTCGCGGCTCACTTGCGAGATTATTGGCACTTTGTGCTACTTATGCGACTGTTCATGAGTAGCGAAACTTGAATGTTTTTGTATTTCTACTTTCCTTGACGGTCAATTCTTTTTCTGGGCGAAAACCTCCACCAAGGAAATTCGAAATACCGACTGACTGACTGACTTTCGACCCCACCAGGACATCACACAAGCGACAAACACCCGATGACACAAAGTGCCACCATGCGGATGAGAATCGCCGTGGAGAGGTCCCAGAAACCGCGTTCAGACATTTGGCCATATGTATGGCCTGCCTATATTGCAGCCCCTGGAAAAAGCCAGAGTGGGGCTTCACATAACAAAAAATTACGTCCTAAAAAGGACGTAAGGATGTTGTGTAATAATTTAGAAATACCAAAACATCTCAGTTTCGAAACTCACGAACCGTCTTACCAGCGACGCTTTCCGCTGAAGTACTTCTTGCTGGTACACACGTGAAAAAAAGGGGAGAGGGTGGGAGGAAGTAACTCTCGCCGTGCGGACAATAACGTGATAAGCTCCAATCATTATTTGAGGTTGAGGCTAACCCCACCCTAACCCTAACATGAAGCTATATTAAATACTACAGAACATTACTGTGTGAAGGTACACAACGAATGCATTGTGTCCCTTACGGTTGACGTGAACAAACAATAGATTGTGCTTCTTAGGTCGCCGTTTGCAGTCTACGACAAATTCTGAATGTAACAAGAAGATAAATGATAAGTTATGATGATAACAGGAAACAAGTTGGGACGAAACCAGATATGAAGAAACAACAAATCATATGGTCGTGCATGTGTCAAGACTGTCACAAGGATAGTGGACAGTGCATCACTCACACACACACACACACAGAGAGAGAGAGAGAGAGAGAGAGAGAGAGAGAGAGAGAGAGAGAGAGAGACAGACAGAGAAAGAGAGACTCCCAGACGAGTCATGGATAGGTGGGATAAATCAAGCCATGAATACCAGCATCCAGGCAGCACACGCTTGCCTCAGACGCCTCTTCAAAACCTGACAATGTAAAGCAGAGAATGATTATAGAATAAATACAATATAAAGGTTATTAATACTAGGACATTCATTATGGCGATGAAGTATGCTGTCTCTGTGGCGCAATCGGTTAGCGCGTTCGGCTGTTAACCGAAAGGTTGGTGGTTCGAGTCCACCCAGGGACGCAGTTTTTTTTAAGTTTGCATGTTGTTAACATCTCAGAGAAAGGCTAAGCTTAATTACTAAAACACTGGTATATCGCAGTAATATTCCAAATAAACAAGACGTAATGCACACATTAAAAAATGGTGTGCAAATAATCGATTTAAACAAAGGTATAGTCAGTCATTTAACACACCACTATAGTCAGAAAGCTACCGTTACTGCCACCACCTTCATTCTCATACTGGATATAGTGATGTTGTACTCGGGGCTCTTTTGTTTTCAAACGCTTCTCGTTATGATGTGCTAAATATAATATTATCTTGTTCTAGTAACGAAGTCGGGTTCAGCCAGAAATGATTGTTCATGCGTCTTAACCTTTGAAATGCGTTAGTCTAAGTGGCAGGGGTGTCAGGCTGTTTATGTTGATGGACCATGCGTGCTCTATATTAGTCGGGCGTATGAAGGGTCAGGAAGGATGAATAAACAGCCTACCTGGCCCTGTTTGGGCCCGAGTTAGTGAGTTGTTCCTAACATCCTCTTTTTTCTTATACAAGCGGTTGTCTAGACCAAGGCCGTCTCTAATAAATAGAGAAGGCCGTGGTCTAGACCTTTGATTTCTTTGCCTTTCTTGAATTCATTCACCTTTAATGTTCATCAATTTCCTCTTATAGTGGCTCTATCAATTGTTTTCGAATGCATGTAACTTTCGTTCCATATCTTTAGTGGTTTGACAACTTTCACTGGTCTAGTTAGTAAAACTGAAACAACATTAGAATCAAAGATACGTAGCTTGACTTTAAAAAACAAAAAGTTGCAACAGGGAAGTTATTTATGGCAGTAGGTGTTTTCCCAAGCCATAACTGAAGATATATTTTACTCGACCAGGCTTCGCTCCTTAATTTGAACCGGAAGTTTTTTTCTGTGACGTCAGGGGCGGGGTAATCTTGCTAAAATGGCGGAGACTCTTCTGACTTGTTGTGTTGGGGAGCATGAAAAAGCCCAAAAAATTCGAAATAGAGAACTAGATAGAATGCTTAATAAAGACAGACTGACTTTTAGACGAACAGTTAGAGTGCTTCTGTTAGGTGCCGGTGAAAGTGGTAAAAGTACTTTTCTAAAACAAATGCGGATTATCCATGGGCAAGACTTCGACGATGAGCAAGTGCGAGAATTTAGAATTGTTATTTATAACAACATTCTTAAAGGGATGCGGGTGCTAATAGATGCCAGACAGAAACTTCACATACCTTGGGGTGATGAATCGTGCGCGAAAGACGCTACGAAAGTGTTTGATTTTAATGGGAGTGAAAAGTTGGATCAAACACTTTTCAGTGAATATGTTGATTCTTTAAAAACATTGTGGGGCGATAGTGGAATTCGCACCGCTTTTGACAGGCGACGTGAATTTCAGTTGGTAAGTAAAGACAAAGTGAAGTAAAGCCGTTTCATAATAGATGGCCTTTTTAACTATATTACGTATCTTCTTCTTCTTCTTCTTCTTCGCGTTCACCAGCTGTACACTCTGGCGGAAAGTTCTGGTTGCTCGTCCACTACTGAACTGCAGTCCTGCTCCAGAACCTGAGTGTTGCGTGTGCATCAGTTTTACAGATCTCATTCTCTTGAATACAGACTGTTGGTTTCTTGCCTCTCCGGCAGATGCACTCCGACTTCAAAGGAAGCTCCCCAATAAGTCGACTCTTACGACAGCGACAGGCTTTTGGGGAGGCAGTGGATCTATTCTTGTTTTCCCCACAATGGGGCCCCGTAACCCACACGGGGGTATATTACGTATAATTTTATATGTCTTGAACATCCGTTAAACCTTTTTATACTCTTACATGCCGTTTTACAACATAATTACTCATACTGACAGCAACAATAAATTGAATTTAAAAAAAGTAAACTAACAGCAAATAAAACTAAAAGTAATGGTGGTTCATTCAGCTAATGAAAAATTCACTGCATTAATTAATTTTTTCCTAAAAACCATGTTTGAAAACAGAAATATGTAATGCCACAAGCTCAGGAGTAATAAGATTAATTGTTTTTTTCCCCAGAATATTTTGTTAACATTTAACAAATTCTTATTCTAAACTGGATGGTTTTAGCAACTTCAGTCAAATTTTCAAAATCGTTTTTTCCTTAAAAAACCAGTACAGCTGCATTCATATTGAAAAATCCTTTCCAACGGTACCTCTTTCATGCGTGTATGTCAGGTCTAAGCCAAGTTATAGAAGCTTTTGTGATAAAAAATTAAGAAAGAAGACAGTACAAATTAATTTTTTTTTTCAATTGGAGTGTGTAGCCTCAAACTAAAACCTATCACACCATAGTTCTACTATAATAATACTATCACATCACATATATTCCTTTATACTTCAGCTTATGTCTTTTCCATTTTGCTGCTAATCTTTATGTCTGTTGCATATTGTTTATCTATATATCTGCTCTACATTATTATATTATTTCTGAACCCCAGTATATTAGACGCAGTGTCTGTATGCCAATCTGGCCAAGATGGTGGCGTAAACAATGTTCGCCGAAAATTGTGACTAAAAGAAGTGTTTATTCCTGGAAAGAATGTTCAATGTGTTAGATTAGTGTAGTTGTTCAATTGAAGATGAATTCGCGACAGGCCCGGCAAGTCGGCGGAAGATTCAGCGGTTCAAAAAGAAATGCCCAAGATGAAAATCGGAGATGTTTTAGAAATAGGGAAAATAGAGGCCAGCAGAAGGTTAAGACCAGGGTAGGGACAATCAATATATGTGGATGGGGCAATAAAGAAGAACAAGTGATAGAATTAATGGAGAAATATAATGTTAAAGTATTAGGCTTATCAGAAGTGAGAATGAAAGGACGAGGAATGAAGAAACTACATAAAAATTACGTTTTGATACAATCAGGAGTAGAGGAAATGCAACGTGCAAAGCATGGAGTAGGATTTGTCATCGATCCTGAAACTGCAAAAAATATACTTGAAGTTAACTACATCTCGGAAAGAATTATAAGTTTGAAATTACAAGTGGGAAATAGTTCAGAGGTGTTTTTTCAGATATATGCTCCGTGCAATGGAAATTACAGTGAGGAGGATTTAGATCAATTCTTTGAGGACCTCGATGAGGAAATTTGTAAGATAGATAATAACGAGAAACTGATTGTGATGGGTGATTTTAACGGTAAGACAGGACGAGACAGAAGAACATTTTCAAGATACCTAGGCAATTATGGAGACAACAGCATTAGAAATGAAAATGGCGAAAGACTGTTCGATATATGTGCACAACATGACCTTGTTATTACCAACACCTTTTTTCAACATAGAGCTTCACAAATTTTTACATGGTATAAATGGAATGATCCAGATACCAAGAGTCAGATTGATTACATCTTGACGAGAAAAAGAGACTTTCATCAAGTTACAGATGCGAGAGTTATACCAAACTTGAGTTTAGATACAAATCATAAGATGGTGATACTTGACAGAAAAGCCAAGATAAGTTATCAAACGAAAAAAGAAATGTAATAAAAGTGACATAATAAAATGGAAAGAACTAGAGTGTGAGGAAAATAGGCGAGCGTTTCAGCAAAAATTACAGGAAAATTATGAACAGCTTCCACAAAACACTCTTGGGGTAAATACAGAATGGTTGAATTTCAGAGACACCACTATGAAAATAGCACAAGAAATATGTGGAACTAAAAGGAAAGGTAACATAGGGCGTAAGCTCTCAACATGGTGGTCTAAAGAAATAAGAAGAATTGTGAGCAGTAAAAAGAAAGCTTATGGCATTTGACTGAGGAGCAGAACAGAAGAGTATTACATAACATACAGGATAATTAGAAGAGAAGTAAATAGAACTATCAGAAAAGCAAAAAGAGATTCATGGGAAAAGTTTGGAAGCAAGCTGGATGAAGAAGAAAGAACAGCAGTGAAAAACTACTACAAAAAAATAAAAGGCATGAGAAACAGGAATGAAGAATACAACCCAACCTTTAATAGAACCTACCAAAATTTTAGCAAGGTGGAGTAGTTACTTTGAAGCATTACTTAGCTGCAATAAAACAGATAAAAGCAGGGAAGAACATAAAAACAACTCGGAACTAACAGCAGAGGAACTAGAACCAGGTATATTATTGGATGAAGTAAAATATGTCATTCGAACCGTCCCTAGACTAAAGGCGACAGGAATTGATGATCTACCAGCTGAGGCCATCAAGGCAGCAGGAGAAACCGGAGCAATATGGTTAAAGAGAATATTTCAGGTGACATGGGAAAATCAAGAAACACCATTAGATTGGCAGACTGCTGTCATTGTCCTACTGTGGAAAAATAAAGGAAGTAAGAGGGAATGTACTAATTACAGAGGAATATCACTACTCAGTCACGCTAGGAAAATATATGCTAAAATCATCGAAAGAAGGCTGAGACCATTGATAGAGTATCAACTTTCAGAAGCACAGATGGGCTTTCGACGAAACAGAAGTTGCACAGATGCCATTTATACATTGAGACAACTATCAGAGAGGGCAATAGAACATGATAAGACATGTTTGTTGACATTCATAGACCAAGAAAAAGCCTTCAATAGAGTTGACAGGAATATGTTGTGGGAATGTATGGGAAAAAAAAGGAATCAGCAATCATCTCATTAATATTTGCAAAAGCCTGTACACAAGTAGTAAATGCTGCATAAGATCGAAGGCAGGATTGTCAAGAACTTTTATAGTGAACTCTGGTGTGCGTCAGGGCTGTGTACTATCGCCGCTTCTTGTTATAACATACATGGATACCATATGTAGAGAAACAAACTTTAATCACGAAGAAGATATTACAGAATTACTTTTCGCCGACGACCAGGTACTCATAGCAGAAAATACGGAATGCCTACAGAACCACCTAAATCAAATTAGTAACAAAAGGGAGGAATATAATATGAAAATAAACACTACGAAGACAGAGACAATGATGATAGGAAGACATAAAGACAATTTAGAAATTAAATTAAAAAACAATACCCTGAGACAAACAGAGGAATTTAAGTATTTGGGAGCAATTTTTACATCTGACGGAAAACTGGACAGAGAAATTAGCTCCAGATGTGCCAAAGCTAATCAAGTAATGGGTCAACTATCTCCCCTGTTGACACACAAGCAGATACCTCGGAGTACTAAAGTGAATCTTATCAGAACTATTTTTTGGCCAACACTATGCTATCAATGCCAAACGTGGACACCTACATCCTCCAATGAACGTAAAATTGTGACAACAGAGATTAAATGCCTTAGAAGAGCTTCAGGAGTTTCAAGGAAAGACAGAATACAAAATCATGAAATCAGACGAATGCTAGGAATAAAGCCAGTCTTACAGGTCATCAAAGAACAACAAATGAAGTGGTTTGGACACCTAACAAGAATGCCCTGGTATTATCCGCCACAGCGAGCCACACTAAAACATAACAACGGGTATAGAGCGAGTGGAAGACCTCGGAAAATATGGAGTGATGGCATTAAGAACAGCCTTACAGAAATGAACATCAGTCTTAAAAGTGCTCTTGACAGAGCCCATCGACGAACATTACATCTCCCCCCAACACTTCAATGAGGTACAAGGTGGAAGAGAAGAAGAAGTATATCAGACTTTAGTGTTAAAACAAATTCTCTTGATAATTTGCAACCAATAAGTCCTATTTATAGCTAAATAATTTTTGAGTAACCGCAGGTTGGAGAACTAACTGATAACCACCTGCTTTATGGAATTTATTTTTAAAAAAAATTATAAATTAAACCAAAATGTTGAACTGTGTAGCAGTATTTTAGGTAGTAAAATGCAAATCTTCTTCTTCTTTTGTCATCTCACTATTACCAGGTTGTAACCAAGTGTCATTTTTTTTTTATTTGGTGTCTGTCTCGCGCTTCTCAGGTGGCTTGAGTTATGGATTTGTTCAGCTTTTTACAGATTTTATGTACACCATTTATCTATAACTTTCTTGGTCTTCCTCTTACCTTCCTGCCAGATGTTCTACTGTAAAAAGTCTCATATGCAGTCTGGTCTGGCTGCATTCTCACTAGATGGCCAAACCATTTCATTCTTTGTCTGTGTAATCCAGACATGGTCTTATTCAAACTTTCTGTCTAATGCTGGTATTCGTAATCCTGTCTCATCTGGTGTTGTTAATGACCTTGCGGAGACAGCGTGTTTCACATGTAGTTATTTCTGTTCTAGTGCCCTATTCATTGTCCATGTTTGGCACTGATAACATAAAGTAGGAACAAAGATGCTATTAATCATTTGCTGGAACGGATGCATTGGGTGTAAAAAATGCACATCATTTTTTTTACAGTGGGTAGTGGTGTTTGTTAATGACAGAAATCAGACTGCTTTTGAAAACAGTTTTCTTACGTTGTACACTTTGT